GAAAAGATAAGAAAGGATGCTTCCCTATGTACTATAGAGGGACCATGGCTCTGCCAACACCTTGACCTTGCATTACTTCTAACCTCCAGAACTATGCTAGAATTTCTGTTGTTTTAAGTCATCTTAATGATACTTGCTATGGTAGCTTTAGTAAACTAATACACTGTGTTTTTCCTTTTATCCCAACATGAATTGAGGCTACTGCAGATTATATACACAGTCCAGGAGTCTGGCTAGAAGTTCCATACAGAACTTCCACACAACACACAGGCTCAGCTCAGCTCTTCTCCTCTGTCCTTCTCCAAGTCAGAGAGAAATTAGATGCTGATTCCTAGTGGCTTCACTGTTCTGAGATCTCTGACCACCTAAGACACAGAGCAAGGTGTTGATGCTTAACTGTGGCCTGGGTAAAGCTCAAAATTGGAAGTCCAGCAAACCTCTGCATATTGCTTGGCCTTGCCTGTTGACCAGGGAAAGCGATATAACTTCCCTAAGTACTCACCCAGCTATCTCTTAATTTTATATACTTTCTCTGACTCCACTTGCCTTTCTTTTAAAATCTCTGAGACACTCCACGTGTGTCTTTCTTTCTCTTTATATCTGTCCTTCTACCTGTCTATCCATTTATTTACCTCTCTTTACTCATCTTTTTCTTGACAACTGTATGTATTTTTACCTCTTTTCTCAGCTTTCCAAAGAGGAAAACTGTGTAGCTCATAGGGTTATTATGAAAATCAAAAGAAATAGTTCAGGAAAGGAACCTAACTCATAGCATGTGCTCAGGAAATCATAAATGGTGGCGATGATGTTGTGGTGATGATTGTGGCTTTTGAAAAGGCCTGAACTCTCAACCCAGGTCTCCTGATGGCCTGATGCTACACACATCAGTCCAGTCCACCTCTGGTCCCAGGGCTGCTGCATTGATCCCTTCACTGTTCCTCATGATTGGTAAGCTCAAAGATCCATTCAGCAGTTCCCAAACTCCTGACTCAGCCTGGGATGATGAATTGAGTACCCAAATTAAGAAAAGGCTAGCATTTGCTTTCAGCTGTTTTTCTCTCTTTTCCCTTCAAGACACAATCACTGCTCTTGACTTAGAGCCCCTGTGTCAGGTCTTTGCATTTTAAGTTGCACTCCTCACTTGTAACTGGTGTTTATGCAAAACTGATCTCTTTAAATGCTAGCAGCCTCCTTGTTTGGTATCCTGAGCCATCTCTGGGTTCCACAGAAAGATGACATTTTTTGCTTGTTTTTCCCTTCTCTTTGTAGTTCTCTGTCTCTTTGTGTGTTCTTTTCTAAATAGTGTCTTTCTCTTCACTTTCATTTTTTATCTTTCTATACCTGTCTCTTCCCTCTCTTCCCTTTTTCTCTCCCTCTGCCTGTTCTACTTTCACACTTACACATTTGTTCTGTGTTTAACTTCGATGTTTTCTCCTCTTTTAATCTGTTCCTTACTCCTGTTTCTCCCTTTCTTTCTCCTACTCTGTCTCTTCTTTTATTCTTTTTTTTTTTTCAACACTGGGAATTGAACTCAGGGCCTTGCACTTGCTAGGCAGGCACTGTACTACTTGAGCCACTCCACTGGCCCTTTTTATGTTGGCTATTTTTAAGATAGGGTTTTGCATTATGCTTGGGCTAGCCTAGATGGCACCCCCCTATTTGTGCTTCCACTCTATCTGGGAACCACCATACTGAGGCACCTCCCCAATTTTTTGCCCAGGATGGCCAAAAAAAACCTCTGTTCTTCTGACCTCCCAAGTAGCTAAGATTACAGGCTTGAGCCACCTCACCCAGCTATCTCTTCATTTTTCCCCTCTTTTATATACTTTCTGTGACTCCACTTGCCTGTCTTAAAATCTTTGAGACACTCCTCCATGTGTGTCTGTCTTTCTCTGCTTATCTGTCAGCACTTCTGCCTATCCATTTATTTGCCTCTCTTTACTCATCTTCTTCTTGATGACTGTATGTGTTTCTACCTCTGTTTCTCTTCTTCTTCCTAGCACTTTCTCTATACTTTTAGGCCTTTTCTTGCTCTCTCGGATCTTCTCTCACTCTGTCTTTATCTCTTCCTCTCATTTTCATTTCTGATCCCTCTAAAAGTGTTAATATTTTAATAGCCTTAATGTCTTCCCAGGATCCTCAAATATTTCCATGATTCAAACATGGCAAGTCTCCTAGAAGCTTCATTTCAGAGAGAATTGTTAATTCCCTCTCCCCATACACCTGTCACCTCACTCTGTACTAAATTAGGAGTGAGGGGCAATCTAGCAGCTCTCCTGGCATAGTCTCCTTTGTCTCTGTCCTACAGTCTTGAACATGAAGGATATGGAGTAGGAACCCAAAATGGGAGCAGGTAGAGGAGTCTCCTGGTTGAAAACATTCTTAGTAAAAGAATTGGTTAGTGGAGGCTGCATCTATGCCTTATGGTATTTTCTTTATTTCATTTGAAAACCATTACCTAGTACATATTCTTCCAGACTCTGTCCTGGGGACTAGAGAGGGATGACTAAATCCTGAGCACAATGCTGTAAAATCTTACAGTTTCTCTGAGAAATCACATAGTTGATAATTAAGGCCAATAAGATAATAGATTTAGGCAAGGTGGCCAAAAGCAAAAGGGGAATTCATTCTAGTGGGAGGAAGTAGAGAACACTTCACAAAGGAGGTAACCATAAGTTCTGTGGAGGTAAGGAACTTGTCCAATGTCACTACTGTGTGCCCGATGCATAGAATAGGGACTAGTACATAATAAGCACTCCATAAACATGTTTAATATATGAATGAATGGTTGACATGAATAGTTTTCAAGGAGTCTTAGGATTTCATCAGTAAGAGAAATCAGAGATGAGCATTCCAGACAGAAGGGAAAACATGACTAAGGATTCAGAGAGGTGAAGGTACAAATTATGCAATGATGCTTAGGAAATTTCAGAGCATTTTCAGTTTCAGAGCATTTTTAATTTCATATTTTTAGATTAGGCATGCTCAACAAGTAAAGTCTATGCAAACATTTCAAATTAAAAAAATAAAAAACCCTCCCAAGTCTGAAACACTTCTGGTTCCAAGCATTTTGGGTAAGGGATATACAACCTGTACAAACTGATCCAGCCCTCCTCTTCAGGGCTGACCCACCAATTCCCCATCTCTGACTATCAGTGACTGATGGCCATGGCTTTACAGCCTACCAGGCATTCATTTCAGCCACAGCAAACTGCCTCATCCAAGGGTACTCTCTTCCAGATTATAGCCCTTAAAAGAGCCACCTTCAGCTCCAGAGCTCCTATAGGTGAGGTTTCAGATCATATTGCAGGTCCTTCACTCAATTCTGCCTTGATCACTTTGCACAGATATATCTCCCAAGGGTGCTCCTCCACCAACTGCATTTCAGAGTCTGTTTTTAGGGAAACTGACATAAGATTCTATGTTCAAGGATTGAGAAAAGGCATGTGGTTAGGGGATAAAGAATATGAGGACAGGATTATGCCATGCACTGATGGCTTACACCTGTAATCCTAGCTTCTCAGGAGGCAGAAATCAGGAGGATCCCAGTTTGAAGTTAGCCCCAGGCAAATAGTTTGTGAGACCCTATCTCAAAAAAAACCTTCACGAAAAAGGGCTGTTAGAGTGGCTCTAGGTGTAGGCCCTGAGTTCAAACATCAGTACCACCAAAAAAAAAAGGAGTTTGAGGACAGGATAAATGTAGCTGGATGGCTAGTCAAAGATCAGATTATAAAGAGGCTTGAGGACCAATGAAACTAATTTAGACTCTCTTCTGTAAGTACTAGGGAGCTATTGATCAGAGAAGTATCTAATTAGAACTGGTATTTACCAGGTTCACTGGCAGTCAGTATAAAAGATGGGATAGAAGAGGATAAGACTGAAGGCAGGAAATGAGTTAGAAACCCAATCTGTAGTTCCAGTTCCAAGCCTGGGGAAAGAAAGAATAGGAAAAGAGGAGAAGAAGGTTTATAGACAGTATCAGTGATACTCATTGGTTCTTCCTGCTCCCTTGTGCATCTCTCTCTTTACAACTCTGGGCTCCATGAGCCACACACTATGAAAGAAAGTAGTGTCTCTTCCCATTGCCTGTAGCTGCTCCTTTAATATCAATTGCAGCTATGGGATAACCTTTATTTGAGGCCCTTTCTCCAGAAAACTGCATCAGAAACTTTCATCTCTACCCCCATTTTTTAGAATCAGTTTTGTAGTACTATACCATACAAAACTTTGGCAGATCCATGGATAATGGTATCTAGTCCACTCTTACCTTTTGGGAACCTTACTTGGGAAGAATCGTATTTCCCTGGAATGTCATGATCTTCCCAACAGTTGTTGCTGACAGTCCTGACAGTGTAACTTATATGTAATAGTCTGAAAAATAATGTTCTGTTGTCCTAGGGGCCATACTGCTATCTTGTGTCTTGGCTTCGGCATTTATAGGCAGGATTTGAGATAAGTCCCACCACCTTTCGTACCTTTAATTTTATAAATTGAACACTGATTGAAATAAAAACGTTGGTATAATAGGAATGCACCCAATCATGGAGTTGCTATAGGGAGCTCTAGAATTTATAAAAACAGATATGACTAAGTTCAGAGCTGTGTGGTGGGAAAAGATTTCTTTTCAGGTGGAATTTGGTATAAACTTGGTTCCATCACATTACAAGCTGGGTGGCCTTTAGGAAGACATTTCACATTTCTAAGGCACAGTTCACCTGCTGGTAAGATGTAAATATCATACCTACCTCCCAAAACTATGACAATGAAATAAAGGGTACCCAATCCTAAGTCTAGTTCTCTTTATTACAACAGGATTAGGCACCATGTTGTTTGATGGGATACTTACTGTTTATTTTTTTCCTTTAAACCATTTACTTGTATTATTTTTCTGAGTACAAACAAAACAAACAATGACTTCAAATGTAATGAGTTCCCATTAATTTTTTTGAATCCAATGATGTAGATGTCCCTGGAGTTTAACTATCCCCTTTCTCTCCAAGGGAAGAAGCAATGCTGTCCACATACTTTGAAACCATCAATGACCTGCTGTCCTCCTTTGGGCCAGTTCGTGACTGCTCTCGGAACAATGGGGGTTGCACTCGCAACTTCAAGTGTGTGTCTGACCGCCAGGTGGACTCCTCAGGATGTGTGGTAAGTGCCTGCTGGCCCAGGAACATGGTGCCAGCCCAGGGGCCAAGGCCACTTGCTGGAGACCATTACCTGCAACAGGAAGCTAGTCAAGGAGAGTTGCACTGGTCAAATTTCCTACCTGTGTGCCCTTGGTTTCCTTGTCTGTAAAGTAGGATAATTAAACCTACCTCTTGGAATTATAAGAAGAATGAAATGAGATGTTATAATTTAAGTGCTTGCCATATAATAGGCCCTTGAGTGGTCTTGACTTCCAGAAGCTTAAAGTCCACTTGAGAGTAAAATAACACAAGCCTTATCTATATGACCACATTGGGAGCAGGGGAGGGTCCATGAGATATAAATAGTACAGAATGTAGGAGTTTTGGTGTGGTTCAGAAGAGATAGTTTCAGGTGAGACCTAAGGTTTGCAATAGGCTTCCTTGGGAAGCTGGCATTGGAAATGGCTTTGGAAAAAATGAATCAACTTACATCAAGAAAATTGCGCAGATGGCAAGGCAGAAGTGTAGGAGTGAGGGTAGGCAGCCTTGTTTGCATAGAGTTTCAGAATCTAGTATGAAATAAGGACACAGGAGAAGATAAGTGAAGATTTCTGCTGCCAATGGAAGAGTATCCCAAAACTGATGGTATGTTTTATAAGAACAGTCTTGGGTAGTTCAAAATGCAAGTTCCAGGATTACACTTTTAGAGGGGTTATGTTCAAGGAACTTGAAATTTTGACAAGGTAATGAAAGTGTCTATCTGTGTGTGAGTGTGTGCTAGAGTGTGTTAGGAACATAGTTGGGAAATATTTCCCCACTGGCTAAACTTGGCCTGGCATTCAATGCTTTTCTTCTCTTGGCCCCTTCCAACTTCTCCAACCACATCTATCACTGCTTTTTTTCATTCTATACTAGTCAAATAGATATAATTAGATGTAGTTATTTGAACCTGCTACCTGTTTAATGTCTCATGGCCCTTGCTTACAGTGAATTGTTCTACCTGCCCTGGAACAAACAAGTAGACATGTTTCCAGATGAAGCAATTTTACAAAGCCTTTCTCTTCCCTGATGGGGCTCTGCTGTTCTCTATATCCACATTTATTATATCACCTGTGACACTTTATAGTACAGAGTGGCTTCCCAGAGTTTGTCCCTCAAATAAACTGAAAGAGATCCCAGGGAACCTGCTGATCAGCACAGCACCCTGTCAATACCCATCTTGTTAAATATAGAAGAAAGAACAGGAAGGAAGGGAGGAGGTCATGGATGGGAAACCTTGCTCCAAACTAAGCTATCTTAATTTGACCCAAGAAAAATAAAATATACAAATGACCTTTTACACCTACACAGCAGCTGGGGAAATAGGCAAAGAGCAGGAAACCAGTATAAGATGAAGATTCTAGAATATGAGGTGATGCAATGAAAACATATTTTAGATGTGAAGATCAACAGGTCTTTAGAAGTAGATAGAGATTTTTAATAATTACATTTCTTAGGATTTCAAGTGACAGAAAAAACACAAAGTAGTTCAGGCAAAAAGGGCTCAAATGGAAGTTTAGGCACAGTTGGATCAAAGTGCTCAAACAACTTTGTTGGGATCCCATTCCATGATGTGTTCCTTAGTGTCAGCGTTCTCTGGCCAGGTTCACTTTCTCCACTCAGTGAATCCTACAGAACAAAAGCACCTCTTTTCTAGTCCTTCCAGCTACAGTTACAGAATTCATCTCACTGGGCCAACTTGGTTCCCAACACCATGGTCAACGGATGGACAGGTTCATCTCTGAATGGGTCACATTGGGATCTTTAGCTAGGAAGAAGCTGCACCTGAAATCTCTGGCTCTGAGATGGGCAAAGGCACAGAGGAAATGCGGGGTCCAGCAATGGGAAAGGGGAGTTACAGCTGTGATGGTAGTAGACATCCAGCAGCTATTTGTATTGGAAAAGTAAGACCTGGTGAGGAAGAAAAGGGCTTGTCCAAGTCGTAGAACCCATCAGAAGACAAACAGCTCCAAAGACTGTGCCAAATCTATGTCATCTCTAAAACATGGGGCTGACTTTTTTGAAAGGATTGAGTTGTCTGCCTCTTTCCTCTTTGACATCAATTTTCTTTCCTGATGTAATTAAGCTCCTTCTTCAGGGAAGATGCCCCAGAAGAATGAAAGCTCCAAATGCAGGTGTGTGAGCGTGTGTGTGTATGCAGGTGTGAGTGTATGTAGGTATGCATATGCATATGCAGGTGCATTTGTGTGTTGTATTCAGGTGTGTGTGTGCGTGTGTGTGTGTGTGTGTGTGTGTGTGTGTGTGTGTGTGTGCATGCATGCAAGGGCTTTTTCTCTTTCCCTCTCATTAATATAAACTAGAGAAAGAAAAAGAAAAAAAGAACATTCATTCCCTGTAGGTTAAAAGAAAATTCAACAGTGTGATGAAGCTGTCAGGAGAGCTTCCTCCTTGATTAAGAATATTAATGTTAAAACTAACTTCAGGGTGCAGTGGATGTAAGGCTGTGCTCTATGGAATAGATAGGGAAATACCCACTTTTGCACTGAGATTTAAAATTCCCTTCATTTCCCTATAAACTCTGTCATAAGAAACTTTTTCTCATAGCTCTCTTTCTATGAAAGTCCATCTGGTATAAAAATAATCATTTTATAATTTAAAAACACATTTGCTTAGACTTTGGGTTCCCTCATGGATGAGGAAACAAGGTTCAGGAAGTAGAGGGACTTTCCAAGGTCTTATCACCAGGTAGCAAGATAGAAGATCAAGACCACATCTCCAATGCCATTCTTAGTGCCAGGGCCATTTTGGGTTGTTTGCCCCATGGCACTGAAAGGAAATGAAAATAAAGAACATGGAAAGAAGCTTAAGCTGAGTGGATCAGCCCTAAGCCCTGACTTGATTGTTGGAATCTAGATTGACCTAATTAGTCTCAGTTTCTTCATGTTTCAAAGGGAACGACAGTTCTTGAACTCAGATTTTCAGCAAAGTTAAATAATACAACTAGCAAAGATTTGAGATTCACAAAGTGCCATTTCTACATGAGATAAGACCGACTACATTATCTATCTATCTATACAGATTTTTTTTGTGGTACCAGGGCTTGAACTCAGGGCCTACATCTTGACCCAATCCAGCATCCCTTTTTGTGTTAGGTATTTTTGAGATAGGGTCTCTCAAACTATTTGCCTGGGCTGGCTTTGAACCATGATCCTCCTGATCTCTCCCTCCTGAGTAGCTAGGAGTACAGGCATGAGCCACCAGTGCCCGGCCATATTACCAATATTTATATGTGGCATACATGATATCAGGGCCACACAAACTTATGAGCACAGAGTAACTACCTTCCTATACTATTTCTATAACTGAATGTCATTTTTGTTCTACTCTACTCATAGGCAGAAGAAACTTAATTCTAGTCAATTTTGGTTGTCTACCTCTGACCTCTTTCTGAACATTTATGTCTATGGGAGCTGTTGTATTCCTAAGGCATTAGGAGCTATGAGTTATTTGGTGTTGGGTCACACCTCTTAGCCTGGTGCCTGCTGTCTCCTCATCCATCACTCTTTCTTTTCTGGTCTATGTAAGGACCCCTCTGTTTCCATCTGGTTCACAGGCATGTAATCCATGTTGATATCTTCTGTTTGGTGCTTTCATTCCATCATGGACCATTTAAGACCAGCTGGCTCTGTCCATCAGCTAGCTTTACCATGTGTAAGAGGTCATAAGGAATGTCCAACAGTTTTTCTACACCACCCCCATGGATCTGAAGCCCCCTTGATCTTGAGTTTTGTGAAAGCATTTATAGTCAGGTGTTTTCACACAAAGGAGAGCTCTTAATCATGTCTGTCATTGACCAGATGCTGTCTGGCAAGTAACTCACAGAGCCCCTTTCCCTCAGAACCCTCAAACCCCTGCCCCTGTGTGTGTGTGGTCAGAGATTAAACCCAGGGCCTTGCACTCTACCACTGAGCTAAGCCACCTGATTTCCTATAGTCCTACATTTCATTCAACCACCTGTCTGATTAGCCTGATGGGAATAGAGTATTAAGCCCCTTGTGAGGGACTCATTAGCACAAGGTCACCTTGTTTGCCTTTCTACAATTATTCTCTTGCCCAGACCCAAATGATCTAGATTTACAGTCAGGGGGAGGGAGACTAATTCTACAGTACATCACAGATTTTTTTTATTTCTTACTTTGCTTCTTTTCTTTTTCTTTTGAGACAGTGTCTCACTATGTATTCCAGACTGACCTCGAACTTTTGATCCTCCTGTCTCAGTTTCCAAAGTGCTGGAATTATATTCATTCATCTTCCACTATTTAAAATTATATCTATTATTTTTAAATCTTCTATCAAGACATCAACTTCTGAACACAAAATAAAATATTGGGCATCTTTTGCTTGATTTTCGGATTCTGCTTTGGAAATCTTACCCTATGATATTAATCCTCTGGTATATAATTGCTCAGTTTGATCTTAACATGTAATGGGAAAAATAATGCCCTTACAAGGATGTCACATTCTAATTCTAGAACCTGTGAGTGTGTTATGTTACCTGACCTTGTGACAGAAAGGGAAGTTAAGTTTGCATACAAAATTGAGATTTAATATTTAAAATATGGTGATTATCCTGGATTATCGGGGAGCACTGGTGTAATCACAGGGGTCCTTAGAAGGAAAGCAGAGAGTGCATCAGAGAGATGCAACAGTGATAGCAGTGAAGAGGGAGAAAGGGGATAGCAAACTAGAAATGTTTCTAGCGGGGGTCTCTAGAACCTGGAAAACACAAGGAATAGACTGACACATTATACTCAGAGAAAGGAACACAGCCCTGCCAACACTTTGATTGTAGGTGAGTGAGACCTGTGTTTGCCTCCTAACCTAACAGAACTGAATACATTTGTGCCATTTTAAGCTGTCAAGTGTGTGGTAATTTGTCACAACATCAGGCCAATACTAATGCAGAGTGAAAAATAATGAGGAGAGAGGCTGATGTGGTAGGTAACGTGCAGAGAATTTTTCTATTACTTTTATTTTTTTCCAGAAAGACTTCACCTTTTGACCAGGAATGGAGGAAGTAACAGTGAATGAAGCATCAGAAAGGGTGAAAGGGAGCCTCAGTTCCCCTTCAGTGTCCTAAAGAGTGAAAGATTGTTACATATTAGAAAT